CAGCATTTTACCATCCTAACTGCCTATGGGAAGTCATTGCTTTTTGTTTGGGTTTGATTTTTTTTTTTTTTTTTTTGTATTGGAGATTGAACTCAAAACCTTGTGCTTGCTAGGCAAGCATTTATGCCACTAAGCTAAATCCCCAGCTGGCAGTCACTGCTTTTTACACATGCCAGGTTGCTATGTGACTCGGGTCCTCATTTGTTCCCGATTTAATCAATTTTACCTGAGCAGTTAATCTTATTGCTTAACCATAGTTCTGTCCCACCTTATGCCCACCTTGTGAGTTCCCTGGTTTTCCTCACCTTGGACCTGTCTCACCTTGTGGTTTTACTCTATAAAAGTCCTTAGAAAAGACAGTGTTTGGCAACCCAATTTGGGACCTCTTCTGTCTCTGACAGAAGCTTGCTTTCTCTCAATAAATACATTCTGCTCTTAGCCTCCATTGTTCCTAAAATTCATTCTTTGATTTTAGAGAACATGAACTTATACTGGGACACCTAGTAGGTTGGGAGTTTCATTCCGCTATATCAAATTGACTGGAAATAACAGTTCCTCAAAAGGAACTAACACAGTTCTAGAAGAGACTAGTCATTGAATGCATTCAAAAGATCTATTCATGGAAAGTCTAGTTGAATTTAAAGAATGTAGTCAAGCTTGTTTCTTAAACCAATGGCTTGCTAAGTTCGCAAATCAGATCAAGGTGATTTGGCAAACCAGCCTTATGACCCACCAGAGCAGCGGCACAGGGGAGTGCATCCTACTCCCCAGGTGGGGAGGAGCAACTGCAGCTGAGTGTCAGGAGGGATGAGCAGTGGTGTTTAGATGGGATCTTGTAGACAGTGGGCAAACCAGAGAGGTTTCTGAGCTGGATGTTGACCTGACCTGTGTTAGTTTAGGTTGATGACACTGTCATGTCTAGAGGTGTACACCCACACCACCGCTGTGTTGGAACACGCAGCTATTGGGATCGTAAACTCTCAGCACCAGCCCTGAATTAAAGAGGCAGAGTTTAAAATAAAACAAGATGGTTTATTTTGAAAGGATGGAAAAGAGAACATAGGAAGAGCAATGGCCATTAAAAAGTAAGTACCTGTGGGTTTTTATTCTCAGCTTTTTTTTTTTTTTTTTTTTTTTGTCTTTTTCATTTTTATCGGTACCAGGGATCAAACTCACGACCGCCTGCTTGCAAGGCAGGTGCTTATGCTGCTGAGCTAAACCCCCAGCCCCTATTCTCAGCTTTTTAAGACCAGTGTCCCTACCCCACAATGAGCATCTGGAACTTTTTTTTTTTTTGGTAGTGGTGATCAAACTCACAATCTTACACTTGCCTGGTAGGCACTTGTGCCACTGAGCTAAAACCCCAGTCCTAGCATCTGGAACGTCTAACAGTCTGGCTCTATGGCTGTCAGTGACCATAGCCTGGGTACCTCTGTCTACATTCTTTTGGCCATTTGATTTCTTTCTGCTTTTTTGTGATAAGTGTGAGGAGAGGGAGCCTCCTAGAAGGGCAGCTGAGAGTTAGAAATTAAGGGGCCATGTGTGTATCTGATATAGTGGTATAGTGATGCTAATATGAGAATGTACATAGAAGTACATATGTATAGTTGTGTGTCTTTTATATAAATTAAATAAGAATCCTTAGGTGCCTGTCCCTTGTCTCGTTTGTATTTTATCTGGTGAGAGTGGGAGCTGGTTATCTTGGTTTTTTATGTTTCTCACTACTTCCCCATTTTGTCTGCTGACTCTTCCTGTTAAATTCTTGTTAATTGTGTTACCTGGTGCCTTCCCTGGTCTGGTTTTTCTCTTTCTTGATCTTTGTCTTTCTGACTGTTGCAGTCTAACTGCAGAGGCAAAAGTTGCTTTTAGTAAGATTCTGATTAATTTTCTTAGTGAATTAATGAGGTCCTATTTTATCCTTTTTCCTGCCTGTGACCCCTTGCCTATAATACTTGTAGCCTCTTCAAAGGAGCTGCCTGCAGAGGGGAAGAGGTGTTATTCATAGGGGCCATTTTTTACTTTGCTTTCTACCAAATAAGGTCGAAGTTCTCCTCCACCAAAGGCTCAGGGGTCCAGTGAGGTATCCTGCGGGTGGAGTCCAGTCCTGCTGCTTGCTCACTTTACAGTGCATAGGGTAGCCTTCTGCCCCTTACAGTGAAGACTTACCCAGCCCCAAGACATTATATTAATAGTGCTGGGGCTGAGAAGCCCTGTGGTAGATGTACTGTGTCCTCTAGCACTCATCTCCCAGTCTCCCATTTATGTTAAAATTAAATATCATTTCCTCAGTCACAATAGCTGCAGCGTATGTCTCCATACCCAGCTGTGGCTCATGGGTGATAGAACTGTGGGGTTGGACCAGCGGCGGCTGAAAAGATAAGAAGTATGAAATATAAATGACCTTTATTTGGGGAATGTGGGGAGAGACACCCGGATCCCCCGGGGCATGGCATCTCCACCGCAGGGCTGGCGATCTCTCCGTGGAACATGTGGAGTGAGGCACACAAGTAGCCTCGGCTTGGGGTGGAACCTAAGGGGGCATCAGGGATGCACAGGTAGCCCATTGGTCTTAGTTTGGCACCAGAGGTAGATTCCTAAGGGTGGGGGAGATAGGCGCTCCTTGGCTTTGCCGGCTACAGTGTCCTGCCTAGGCCCAAAACCCTTTCAATGGGTAGAACAGGTGCAGCCAGCCCAGGACACTGTAGGTGAACACATCCACTCCTGCAAAAAGTTCAGGGGACAACTCTAGGTGGAAATGTTCAGATTAGATCTTGTGGGAAAATTCCCAAGCCAGGCCAAACCAAAAGAAATACTCTGCACTTGTCACTATTTGAATGTCATTTTACATACTTTAATTTTGTAACCTGAACAGATATTTCTAAGATGACAATGTGTAACTTATCAACTGGTGATTTCTTACCGTTTATTTTTCTGTAATTCTGTATTATTTCTACTCTTTTTTTTTGTTTCTTTCTCTTTAAATTAAAAAAAAAAAAAGAAATACTCTGCACCAAGGAGATAAGACAATGCTCTTTTTTTTTGGTATCATCAGGGATTGAACTTATGACCTTGTACTTGCCAGGCAGGCACTTGTGCCACTGACCTAAAATTCCAGCTCCTTAAAGAACTCTCAGCCAATGCTTTTTTTTTTTTTCACCAAGGAGATAAGACGACAATGTTTAATCTTTATGCCAGTGGACTGTTGAGGATAATTCCACAAAGGCAAGAGCGCTGAATTTAGGAAGAGTTTCGTTTATATAGAATTTAGAAGTGGGAGATAGAAAACAAGTCACAAAACATTATATAATTGGTTACATAAAGGCAGGCTAGTCTTGAAACAATAGAAACAAGGAGAGGAAGCCCTTACAGAATAAGCATAGTTAAGGGCATCCTTGGAATAGCCCAGGGTGCCGTAAGGTATAGGCAATTCTGCAGGCGAGCTGTACACACTGTCAAGGTCAGCTGAACTTAGCTGAAACAGCAGAACAGTAACTTGGCCAGAGACCTCTAATTGATCATGAAACACCTGTAAGTTTGGTATTTTACACAAATGTTTTAATATTATAATTGTGCACCAACAATCTCATTAACATTTCAAGGATCAGTAAATCAATGAAACAGAATGTGACACTAGTGACTTCAGCATATGGTTTTGGATTCTGTGTTAGAGTTCTTTAGAGAAACAACCAACAGCATGCATGTGCATGTGCATGTGCGTGTGTGTGTGTGCATGTGTGTATGGGAAGAGACGGACAGACTGTTTCCAGGGAATTGTAGAGGTTGACAGGTGCTGAATCTGCAGAACAGCAGGCTGGAGACCTAGATAAGAGCTGATGTGGCTTTCTCATTATAGATTTGGTTTTAAGCCTCCTCCCTTTTCTTTCAGTGCTGGGGATTGAACCCAAAGCTTTTCCAATGCTACCAGTGTTGTACTACTGAGTTAGACTTCCAGTCCTAGCTTGCTAGCTATTTATTTATTTATTTATTTATTTATTATTTTTGAGATAGAGTCTTACTATGTAGTTCAGGTTAGCTTTGAGTTCACTTTGTAGCCCAGGCTGGCCTTGAACTCACAGCAATCCTCCTGTCTCAGCCTCCTAAATGCTGGGATTAAAGGTGTGCGCCACCACACCCGCCTCAGTCTTGCTTTTGATATGGCCTTCCTAAGGGGCCCTTTTATGTGTCTCCCCCAACCAGTCACATCCTATCAAAGTTTAATGCCACAGCTAGTCACAGTGGCACCCACCTGTAATCACAGTACACTGGTAGGCTGTCAGGGGTTGGGGTATGTGACAAGTTTGAGCACTGCCTGGCTAATTTTGCTGCGACTTGTAACACTTCATTTCAAAATAAAGATTTCAAAATAAAAAGGGCTCAAGATGTAGCTTAATGCAAAGCCCCTGGGTTCAACCCCTAGTCACACACACACACACACAGCCACAGGCCTGCTGTATATCTACATGTCTCCTCCTCACTACCCCAGGCACTTTCTTCAGTGCACGAAGTCATCCTCCTCACCTGTTGGAACACCAACGGTTTGGGGACACTTTCACCCAGGAAGAGCTTCACTCAGACAGAAAGGAGTAAAAATTTTTCCTGGAGGAATCTCATGCTTTTCTTCTACGATGATTTACATACCAAAACTCAGGAGAAAGACCTCAGTAAAGAAACAATGGCAGTAATGCACTATCCTTAGGTCCCTCCATAGAGCGTGCCCTCAGCTAAATCCGTCTGAAGACTGATGGATGCCCAGCAGCACCAGTCTCAAAGTCCTCACCTCTAAAGATCTCCTAAGTCATATTCAGACATTCTAAGAAGTAGAGCCAGAGGCCCGGGGTTGTAGCTCAGCTGCATAAGTGCCTGCCTGGCAAGTGCAAGGTCCTGAGTTCAATTCCCAGTACCAAAAGAAGGCCAGGAAAGGGGAAGGGCAACATGAGCTCCCTCCCCCTCTCCTTCCAATACAAGGGGCACTATAACCACTGAGACTGCAGTCTTCCCTGTCCTAGAGCGGCTGGGCGGGCCTTGTTTCCGGCCTGTGTCAGGCCCGGGCCCAGCCGATCGGGCAGCGATTAGGAGATTAGGACGGACAGAAGGCGCCCAGGCACCTGGTTTCCCAGGGGCGGCTTCGAGGGCCCGCGGGGTTGGGGTCCACAAACAGCGAGTGGAGCCAGGATCTTGAGGCGCGGCCGGGGGAGGTTCGGGTGTGGTCAGGAGGTAGGACGCGGGGCCTTGTCAGGGCTAAGGATGATTGGTGGTCACCGAAGGGTCCAAGGAGGTGTGGGAGCAAGGTGCGCGTGAAGGGGCCGGGCTTGTGGCAGGTATTGGGCGTGGCCACCGGGGCGTGGTCACAGGCCTGGGTCTAGAAGAGTGTGGGGCGTGGTCAAGAGCTGGTTCTGCGAGTGGTGGGGGCACGGTCACCGGGCGCGGGTGGGGGTGACTAGGGAGAGTGTGGAGGTGAGGTCCGCACCGATATCTTCAGTATCCAGTGGGCTGTGTGCTGCCCCTCCTCATGTGCCCTGCCTTCCCTAGTTTTCAACTCTAGAAAGCTCAGCGGTGCCAGTCCCTGCAGAAGCTTTCTGGGACTTATCCCTATACTAAGAGATAATCAGTGTTCTGCAGGCCATGCTTTGTCTCCAGGTCTCTGCCCCACTCCCCACCGGGATTCACGTGGAGAGGCCCGGGGAGGCCTCAAGAGTGGTGGGAGACTGTTTGAATGTCCACTCTATATGCTTTAATTTTGTAACTTGAACGACTGTTTCTAAGATGACAATATGTAATCTATTAACTAGTGATTTCCTACTGTTTATTTTTTCTGAAAATCTGTATAATCTGTACCCTTTTTCTGTTTTTTTTTTTTTTTTCTTCTTTTCTTTTTTCCCTTAAATTAAAAAAAAAAAAAAAGAGTGGTGGGAGGAGCAGAGCCTCACTGACCCGGAGAAGGGCTCCTCTGGCATGATAATACCGAGGTTGAGATGAATAACAAGGTAAGCAGTCCTTTGGCCACTGTCCCCACCTGTCCTGCCTCCAGCTAGCTCTGTGAAGGCAACCTGAGCCCTCTTTTCTGTTTTTCTCAGAGTTTATTAATTTTTGCAGTACTGGAATTGAACCCAGGGTCTTCTAACAGAACTATATCCTTAGTCTTTTTGTTTTCATTTTGAGCCAGGATCTCCTTAAGTCACTATGTTGCCCAGGGCATGCATTTATGATCCTCTTGCAGATTACAGGCATGCACCACCATACATAGCTACATTAAGACATTTTAAAATCAGAAAAAAAGTTTTACCCATGGTCGGGGCCTGGAGGCGAAGGGTAGAGAGACCAAAGCCACGTTGTGTCCAAGTCAGCTGTGATACATTAGCACGGAGACCGACTTGAGCAGGTCTGGAAGCCAATTTCAAGTGTCAAGTGGGCAGCTGCAGGCTGAAGGTGGCCTAGGATGGATCCTGAGGACTGCACAGTTAAACCCTGAAGGCAGGATAGTGGGCTGTATGGGAGAGGAAAAGAAGATGAGGGATCAGCACTAAGCCAGTGGGATGATCAGGAAGGTACTGGATGTGGAGACTGAGACCAGGAGATCCATAGGCCAGGCAGGTACAAAGGGACAAGGAAAGCATACAGGACCTCAGATCCTCTTTGGAACCCCTGTATCTCACTGCTTCAGCTGCCACAGATGGTACTGTGCCCCTGACCCGGCCTCCCCACTGACCTTGCAGCCAGGCTCTGTCCTCTCCCTTGCCCCTTCCCAGCCCTGCTGCCCTCTTTTGATCTCCCTGCCTCAGCCTGGCTCCCTGCTTGCCCTGCCTCTGCCGGCAGATACAGCTGCCTAGAGAGTTGCCTTCCTGCATTTCCTTCGTGCAGTCTCTGTTGCCTTCTGCTCTCAGCTGATTTCTGGGCCTCTGTCTATGGTTCTGAGATTAGCAGTACCTGTGACTGTGCATGCCTCCCCTCAGCTGTACCAAAGAAGAAATAATTGGTAAATGAGATCTGAAGGATGACAGGAACTTGCTGGGAGGGATGGAAAGGAAGCAAAAATGAAAAACCTCAGAAAGGGTAGTGCGTTGACCCAAAGTCATGGCCAGACAGGGGTAGAGGCTGAAGCCAGCTTGTGTGGGCAGCTCAGGATGGAGCTGTCAGTAATGCCTAGGAAAAAGATGGGCCCAGAGTTTGCCTCAGAGCTGGTTCAGGGGCCTGTTAGGGTGATTTGTGAGGGTGGAGGGAAACAGATGTTTGGGGAGATGCTGGGGAGCATAAGGTGAGGTAACAGACATGTCCCCATCAGCCAGATGTTTTTCAGGGACACCTGCCTGCCTAAAGCATATGCTAACACCAAATGCATTTCCATCAGTCCCTAACTTAAAGCTGTAGGTACTTATGCAGTTTTCATGTGCCAGGCAGGAAATTGGGCTCCGAGAGGTGAGGTAACTTGCTCAGAAAACATATTGTTGATATGGAATTCCCACATGTGATGCAGTAGTCTATTTAGTGAGCCCCCTTCCAAAGTACTGATTGAGGAGTCTTAGGGAAGAGGATAAGCTAGTGCGGAGGGAGCGGGTAGGGGTTTACCTGAAGAGAGAGAGGGGAAGTCAGTCAGCACAATGAGCAGACAAAGCTGAGGATATTGCCAAGAAAGAGTGGTAGTGATGCATCTTCAAAAATCAAGCAAGAAATTGGGTGAACCATCCTTGAAGTTGAGTATGGGGACAGCCTGGTAGTACAAGGCTAATGGTGAAGGAAATAGGGGATGGGAGTTGTCCTTATGTAACACCTGGCTCTCAAACAATTTGGGGTCTGGTTCACTTCAGAGAGGGCTGAACCTAATGGTCAGGCACCTCTCACTTGCTTTGGTATTGTCCTAGCACTGTACTAGACACTGGGGCCAAGCCCCACGGAGCTGGCCTCAGAGCAGCTACTATCTGGTCCTCCTCCCTAGCACACTCTTAGGGCTCAGGATGGGCCCTGATCCAGGCCCACCTTGCTAGGTGTCCACACCAAGTTGAACAGGGTACAGGGCTCCAAGAGAGATCCTAGGTTAAAGGGCTACCCCCCGCCATTTCCTGAGAATCTCCTGGAAGGACTGGGAGATTCTTTAATTCAAGGGGCACCTGCCCCTCATGTGGGAGTGAGTCTTCAGGACGACAAGGCCTGTGGTTCCAAGACATGGTAAGTTTTGAGAACATGGCTTATGTATTTCATGGGGTGGGGGGATGTACTTTTCTTAGGAGGAGGAATAAGGCCATGTAATTCACTTGGGTGTATACCTGGGTCCTCAGCAGAAGGCACTGTACCTGGATGGGATGCTAAATAAGCACCACACCCTGAGGGCTCTGGGTGATCACCAGGTGCTTGCCTCCCATGACTAATTGGTTCCCAGTCCATGTTGGGGTGTCTTAGTCCCAGCAGAAAATGTCCAATGGACTCTTCTGTTTTCTCTCCCCTCTGAATCTCCTCGGGAGAACATCTGTCAGCCTCTGTAGTTCCTGGTCAGCTGCAGCTCTGATTGTCTTCAACTGACCATTTCCTTCTCCATGAACAGGTAGGTTTTCCAGTGTCCAGGTTCTGGGTCATCTCCAAGCTGGGGGATAGGGAGATGCCATGGCTCTCCATGAAAGAGGCCTTTCTGTCCAGGTGAGTGGTGAGGTGGTTTCCCCAGGGAGACTGTGATGCAGTGTGTGAAAGCTGTGAGGCACATGGCATGGAGATCAGGGTGACTCTCCTTTATTGGCTATCTTAGTTACTGTTCTCATTGCTGAGATAAAAATTAAGGGAGAAAATCAACACCCAAAGTTAAAGGAGGAAAGATTTATTTAGCACATTGTTTGTAAAGGTTTTAGTCCATAATTGGCTGGCTCCAAGGCAGGGTGGTACAGGGTAGTGGGGCAACCATTCATGGTAGCAGAGCGTAGCAAAAGCAACCAAGGGAAGCTGAGAGGCAAACCCTGTCTGTCCCTTACATTGTATGTAGGCTACCCACTATAGGGTGGGTGTAGCACTCACACTCTTTATCCCAGCATTGGGCCTTGAATCCATCACAAAGTCTAGATTCACCCATCTCCAAAAAACCCTTAAGGGCTTTTTGAGGCTTGAGATTGCTTGAGGCTTTTGGGGTACATCTGTACGCAAAAACGTAACACTAGCTGCCTTTCTGCCCCCATTTCTCTTAAGTGTAAGTTCATTGTGACATGCCCTGTTGCTATTCAGGTAGGATGGTCATTTTCTTGGTGACCAAGTGTCCACCTGGTGAACTGATTAGAATTTAAGTTTCTAAATATAAATAGAACTTTACCAGTATGTCTGCATTTAGAGAAGTCCTTCATCCTGTCCCTGTTTCATACACCAAGCATATTGAGTGCCACCTACACGCAAGCATTCTAGCTATGGGGCATGAAAGTTCGCAAAACCAAGCGCTTATCTTCAGGAACATTCTAGCTTGGGGAGAAATTGTCTGTTCTGACTTTGATATACTATTTTTAGTCTTCTTAGAAGATCAGGGGCAGAGACTTCATTCCTTACCCAATCCTCAGTGCCAAGAGCATTTTGTAAGTGGACACCGTTACCGTGTGTCCCTATGTTTCCCCAGCTGTTAGTGCCTGCTTTGTGTGCAGAGCCATCCAGACACTGCATTGACAAGTGTGAAAACACCTGTCCCTCAGTATCTCATAGTCCAGTCAAAGAGAAGTGAGTACACACACCCCACCTCAATACAAGACAAAACTAATAAAGTCAAGCCGGGCGTGGTGGCTTACGCCTTGTAATCCCAGCACTTGGGAGGCTGAGATGGGAGGCTCATTGCGAGTTCGAGACCAGCCTGGGCTACAAAGTGAGCTCAAGGCCAGCCTGCACTGCATAGTGAGACCTTGTCTCAAAAAAAACAAACAAAACAAAACAAAAAAAAAACTAATAAAGTCATTAACCAAAGGGAATATCAAGCTGTACTCTCAGGCTTAGACATAGGAGCTGTACAGAATTGCTTTGGTTCAGTCATAAAGAGTGACTACAATGACGCTATCATCCATGGCTTCACTTTCCTCTGTTTCACAGTCCACCAGTCTAAAAACTCCAACAGGAAATTGCAAAATAATTAACAAGTTTTAAGTGACATAACATTCTGAATACTCACTGTCCTTCACCATTCCCACTGGAATGTGCATCAGCCCTTTGTACATAGTATCCACTCTGCCTATACTACCTGCTAGTTAACCACTTAGTAGGAATCAGAGTGTCACAGTATCTTAGTGTTTATATTCAAGTAACCCTTATTTTGCTTACTACAGGCCCCAAATCATGAAGGTAGTGACACCAGCAATTTACATGACCCAAAAGAAGCTACTTCCTTCACGTGAAAAGCTGAGATGAAAAAGCATAGTTGTGGAGTTCAGTAGTATTCTCAGTTTCAGGCATCCTGGGCAGTCTTACAAGATAACCTCTGTAGACAAGTGGGGTTGACTACCTTTTTTCTTTCACAGAGAAGTCTTTACTTTCCCTTCTTTGTTTCAGATTCTCAGGTGAAGACAAAATGCGAACATTTAACTCCAAAGCAAAAAATGTTTTGAAAAAGAATTACAAGGAGTAACCCAGAAAGTTTTCCTAAGAGGTAATCCAGAGGAGTCTGAGTCTCAAGTGACTTGTGGGACTGAGACAGTGGCACAACATTCATGGGGACAAAGTTACAATAAAGGGCAGGAGGAAGTTCTTTTCCCAAAAGAGAGGCTTAGGACAAGTGACCAGCTCTCTGCTGAAAGCCAGTACAGTAGAGAAAGACAAAGAATGTCCCAAATTAGAGAAAAGTTTGTCTCTGGGCACAAGTCTCCTGCTTGTCAGAGCAACAGGACAGGACAGAGAGCCACTAGATGGAGGATACATGGCCAAGGCTTTTTGTGGAAGCTAGTCCAGAGTAGACAGGAGGCATGTCCTGGTGGATCAGACTCTTTGGATGGATGTCATGTGTGTGGAAAATCTTTCAACAAAAATTAACACCTTACTTAACATCAGAAAACTCAACTGGCTGGGCATGGGTGGTGCACCCTTGTAGTCCCAGCACTCAGGAGGTTGAGGCAGGAGGTTGGTTGTGAGCTTCAGACCAGCCTGAGCTATATAGTTAGTTCAAGGTCAGCCAGAACTTCATAGCAAGACCTGATCTCAAAGACAAAACAAAACAAAGAAAGAAAGAAAAGAAAAGAAACTCAAGAAAAGACCTGTTGTGTAGGGAAACATTCAATCATAACTCAGTCTGGTAGAGAGAAACCCTATGTGTAATGAATGTGGCATTTGTGCTTTCAAGAGGCATCAAAGCTTGAGAAATATCAGAGAATTGACACTGAAGAAAAACTACAGATATACTGCATGTGGGAAACCCTCAGTGAGAATTCAAACCTTATTAAACATCAGATGATACATACTAAAGAGAAGCCCTACAAATGTAATGTGTGGAAAAGTCTTTAGTCAAGAAGTAAATCTCATTAATCATCAGAGAATTCATACAAGAGAAAAACCCTTTGCATGCAGGGAATGTGGGAAAAGCTTCAGTCAACCATTACTCTAGCTAAGATTCACAGAGTGAATTCTGAGGAGAAGCCCTACAAATGTGTGAAATGTAGAAAAGACTTTGCTCAAACATCACACATGGTTGATCATCAAAGAATACATACTGGAGAGAGGCCCTGTGTGTGCACCATGTGTGGGAAAGGCTCTATTCAGATGTCACAATAGATTCACCACTACAGAACACATTCAGGAGAGAAGCCTCATGAGTGTCACGGGAAGTGCTTCAGCCAGAGTTCAACCCTTATAAAACATCAAGTTACCTCCAATATGGAGAGTGCATACCACTTAGGTGAATGTACCAGTCTTTTGGCATGAGCTGATCACACTATCACTATCTCAAGAGGAATTCTTCTGTTTGTACAAGAAAAGCATCTAAGAATGCAAAGAATTCAGAAGGATCTTTTTCTCTAGCTTTTTATGCAGTATCAGTATGTTACATAATGAGAAGACCTGGTAGATATGATAAATGCCAAGGAACCATTTGTTGGAACTCATATCTTTTTTACAGTGAGATCATTCATATGGGTGTAACATACAAGAAAAGCTTTGGTGTGTTGTGGACAAAAGGCAGAACTCTGGGGACTACCATCGTCAGCTGCTTCTTTGAACAAACTGTCCCAGCAATATCTTGCCCATGGGTGGCTGTTCTCTGTGTCTGTGTGTTGTGGATTGGGAACAAAGAGTCTTAGGGGAAGCCAGGGATCTAGGAAGTGGCCAAAATTTAGACCCAGAGAGAAGCAGATAGGGATATGAGATGCACAGGAAAAGCAAGACTGCCATTTAGGGTCTGTCCCCAGGGTGGCTGCTTTATCTTTCAAGCATGGAGACTCACAGTGATGCCAGACTATTCAGTCCTACATTTACAGACAGCCTCATGTTCTGTCTTCACAGACGGTTAGCCTCATCTGCAATGATTTGTCCCCTCAAAACTCATGTTGGAGTTTAGTCCCTATTGTGAGATATCAAAGTAGTGGAAATCTAATCTCACCATGTTTAGAGGTGAGGTTTTAAAGGGTGGTTAGGGTCATTAGGGTGGACATCTGTGATTGAGTTCTGGTGACTTTATAAGAAGAGGGACAGAAACCAGAAGACACACATACACACACCCTTATCTTTGGCCTATAATACCTTGTACTCCCTCAGGAAGCTGCCAATAAAAAAGGCCATCATTAAATATAGCCCCTTGATCTTGCATCTTTGGAACTATGAACCAATATAAAATTTTTTTGCACAACTCACCAAATCTGTAGTATTGTTAACAGAAAATGGCCGGGCATGGTAGTAAATGTCTGTAATCCCAGCACTGGGAAGCTGAGGAAGGAGGATCATTGCAAGCTTGAGACCAGCCTGGGCTATCAGGTGAGCTCAAGGCCAGCCTGCACTACATTGAAAGGAAGACCTTGTCTTAAAAAGTCCAAAAGCCAAAACAAAACAGAAAATGGACTAAGCATCCATTGTAAGAATGGGTTTTGGAGCAGGCAGACAGTTCTAAACCCACTTGTCATGGAGTCACAGATAATTTGACTACCCCGTCAGTGTCATTGTTGTTACCTGTGAAATGGTGGGTCAGTTCCTGCCTGGTACTTGTGGGCATGTGCCCACAGCAGATGGCCAATGAATAGTGCTCCTCTTACCATTAGCTTTACCAGGTCCAACCTCAAAGGGTGGTATTCTCTTTGTAAATTCTCAGTGCCCAGGAAACAGCTATGTTTTTGAACCGGTGTCAAGGCCCTGGCTGGCTATTTTGGATCCTGCTGTGAAGACTGTCTTTAATCTTAGCTACATAGAAATGAAATCTCCCAGAATATCTACTGATCCTTCAGAGAAGTTAAGTTCTTTATTCTGCCTTGCTGTTTAGTTGTCTGTCCTCACGGACCCCAATATTTGTTCGCAACAGTGAGGTGGCCTTATGCCATGAAATTGCAGAATCAACCCATAGGCCCTTAATAGGCCAGACTGTCTGTCCCTGTCCTTCCTTCCTTCCTTCTTTTCTTTCTTTCTTTCTTCTTTCTTTCTTTCTTTCTTTCTTTCTTTCTTTCTTTCTTTCTTTCTTTCTTTCTTTCTTCTTTCTTTCTTTCTTTCTTTCTTCTTTCTTTCTTTCTTTCTTCCTTTCTTTCCTTTCTTCCTTTTCTTTCTGTCTGTCTGTCTGTCTTTCTTTCTTTTACCTTTCTTCCTTTCATGTGCTTGTTTTTGTTTTTTGAGACACTATATAGTGCAGGCTGCCCTTGAATTCACAACAGTCTTCCTGAGAGTTGGGATTGCAGCTGTGTGCAGCTCCCTAATAGTCTTTACCACCAGCCACTCTATCACCCATCCTCACATTCCAGGATGCTCTCTTCCTTTTCAAAATCCAGACCTTAAGATACCCAATAGTATCAGGACCTCTTCTACAAGTCTGACCATCAGCACATCCAAGTTTGTATCTATAACCCAGCCTTCTGCCACCCTAGTGGTCCTGTTTCTTCATGGCTCCATTTTGAGGGATCCAGGCTGGGTTTGAGTAGCCAGGAGCAGTAAAAGGTTAGGAGAGCTGTCTGAATGCACAGATGGACACTGTTACTCTGGCTGGAGTGTGCTCACTGGGTAGCCAGGCAGCAGGACATTAGCAGGTCGCCATCCACGCATGGTAGAGCCTTCTCTTTTTCAAAGTATCACTGATTCCACTTCTGTTCCTTTCTATTCCCTGCATGTCCACATTAATATGCTTTATATACGGCCTTAGTAGGCCTGTCTTTTTTTTTTTTTTTTTACTAGTACCAGGGATTGAACTCATGACCATGCACTTTTGAGGCAGGTACTTATGCCGCTGAGCTATGTCCCCAGCCCAGTAGACCTGTCTTTTGTTCCAAGGATCAAACTCATGACCTTGTGCTTGCCAGGCAGGTGCTTATGCCATCGAACTATATCCCCTTTGCAGTTTTTGCAAAATTCATACTGTTCTTTTTGTCTTTTCCTCTCTTTCTCCTCTCCTTTTTCTTTCTTCCTTCTTTCCTTTCCTTTCTTTCTCTTCCTTCCTTTCTCTATCTTTCTTTCTGACAGGGACTTGAACTTCTGGGCTCAAGTAATCCTCTCATCTCAGCCTCCCACATACTGTAGCTGGCACTGCAGGTCCATGGCACCAGGCGAGGGTGAAATGCAGGCTATTGTTTGGTGAATGTGGTTTTAACTTGTGTAGTATGCTGGCCAGATTTTTGTTACTACAATGAACACCTGAGGTAATAAACTTATACAGAGGAAGGGTTTATTTTGGTTCACAGTTTTACAAGTTTCTACCCATGACTTTTGAGTCTGTAGCTGCACATCATGGTGGGAGCACATAGGAGAAGAAAACTGTTTACCTTGTGGCCAGGAGTTCAAAGAAAGAGACAGGGACCAAAGTCCCACAGTTTCTTCAAGGGCATGGTCCCAATGACATGAAGACCTCCCACCTCCCACTAGACTTCAGACCTCCCAGCAGTGCCACCACTGGGACCAGGACTTTGCCACAGGGGTCTTTGGAGAACACTTAAGATCTAAAATGTAGCACATAGAGTAATATAAAGCTCATTTTATCCTTTCTTCCTACCTTCATTCCTTTCATTCTCTCTCTGTCTCTCTGTCTGTCTGTCTCTCTCTCTGGTTTATTTGTTTTTCCAACAGTAGGGGTTGAACTCGGGGAGAGCTGAGCTAAATCCCCACTCATTTTATTTTCAGACGAGGTCTTACTAAGTTACCCAGGCTGGCCTCAAACCTGTGACACTCTTGTTTAGCCTCCTGAGTAACTGGGATTTCAGGTGTGCACTACCACAGCTCATTTCATTTGCTTTGTTATGCAATTCTGTTTAGGATTTCCTCCTGGTCTATGTACATCTAATTCTTTGTCTCTAACCGCTCCATAATATGTACTTAAGATTGTATCCCCTGCATTTTATTTATCTTTTATTGCCCCCGAAGATGACCACTCAGGTTGTCCCCCAGTCTCCACTGCTTCTACATCCCCCACCATCTTTTAAAATTTATTTATTTTGAGGGTCTTGCCAACTCAGTAAATTGCTCAGACTGGGCTCAAAC